CTGGGCTGTGGCTCACAGGGTGAGGTACCCACACGGCTCCTGTTAACTCCCAGCAAAGATACCCCAGCCGGCCAGGGGCTCTGAAACGTCCCTGGAAGGGCTCTGTCCCTCGCCGCAGCCGGGCACTGGAGGAGCCTGTGCCCACAAGAGCTCGCTGATCCCTGCACGGGCACTCGGGCGTGGGGGTGTGCGTGCGTGCTCCTGGCTCTTACATGCAGCTGCCTCCTAGGAGTGCACAAGGGGCTCTTTGCTCTGGATGAAGCGTGTGAAACTATTTTCACAAGGTTATGAACTGAGGCCTTCCGGGCAGACGCTTCACAATCAACAGGCAGAGCGTGTGGCAGGTCACTTAACCCCTTCACGCTGCGAGCCTGAATCTCCCCAGCTGGGAATGGCGGGTGGCCCCGAGAGGGTGAAGTGCTAGCCAGCGGGTGGCCTGGGAAACGACAGACCAGCCCTCGTACACCAGCGTTACCCAGACTGGGAAAACAGGACCAGTCTTCTGAAGAGCTGCCTGATTCCACTGGCTCTCCCAGGAACACGCCTTCTGACAAGGGCTGTGCGCCAGTCTGACACCCTCTCCAGCGGGCACTGGCGCACAGTGGTGGCTGCACCGGGAACCCGGGGGAACTGAGCCAACCCTCCCAGCACAGCAGCAGCCAGCTCCCTGGGGAGGCGTGAGCCCCACCTTGCTAACTGCTCTCCACGCCCATTGCTACCCCGAGAGGCACTCGGCACCACGCAGGGTCAGGCCCTACAAGCCATGGTGCTATTCCACCACCGAGAGGCACTGGTGGCATCCACCAAGTTCCCTGCAGAACCCTGGTCAGCGCCTGCCCGCCCCAGGGTGCCAGTGGCAGGGAGTGGCTGGCGGGATATTCCTGTCTGGCTGGACACCGGTCCCCTTGCAACGCTGGCCCCGAGCCAGGGCTGTGGGTAGAGCCGTGCACAATCCGCAGAATGAGGACGGGCGATCCGGTGGCTTGTCCTTACAGACGACACTCCCAGCTGTTCTGCTGGGGAGCTACAGACCCGACTCTGCAAGAGAGAACGGCCCTGGGCTCAGGGCCCCCTGCCGCCCCGCTGGAGAACCGCCCTCATCTGGCCATGTTGTGAGCTGCCAAACGTCTCAGTTCGGCCGCTACGTTCTCCGAAGAGCCTGGCAGGCGCCCCACCCGGGTGGCAGGTGCTGAACTGGAAGCTCCCGGCCTTTGCTGCTCCCAGGCGCCACGACACCGGCACCGGCACAAGGGCCGAGCAGGGACCCGGGCCTGCCTTGCGCTCGATGCTCCAGCACAAAGGAAGAAGTGGCCTGCCTCAAAGGCGGGAGCGGGGTGGCAGAGCGAGCAGACGGGCGAGCGGCTCGGAGCGGGGGCACAGAAGAGCCGCTAGGGTACGTGGGGCCCTGCAGAAAGGTTTCCGGGCTGCCTGAAGTGCAGATCTTTCTGCGGGGCCCCCCCAGTCCAGGGCGGGCTGGGGGCCGCGGTTCCACTCTGCTGCTCCCCTGCGCTCCCGGGCTAGAGGCAGGACACTCCAGCCAGCTTTCAGGCTCCACCCCCCAGCTCCCATTGGTCGGGAACTGTGGCCAATAGAAGCTGTGGGGGGCGGTGCCTGCAGGCAAATGCAGGGCAGCGCACAGAGCCACCTGCCCCCTCCCTGGGCCTGGCCCACCAAAGGGGAGCTGCACCCCCACCCCTCATCTCCCTCCCTCCTAACTTCTGCCCAGATGCCTGAACCCTGCCCTGCGCCCCTTCCCACACTCCAAACCCCTTGGCCCCAGCCTGCAGCCCCCTCCTGAACCCCAAATTCAGCATCCCCAGGCCCACCCCAGAGCCTGCATCCCCCACTGGGAGCCCTCACCCCCTCCCACACCCAACCCCCTGCCTCAACCCACGGCCCCTGCCGCCCTCTGAACTCCGCATTTTTGGTCCCACCCCAGAGCCACACACAGTTCAGGAAGGAGGCCACCAGCCTAACGGGACAAGGTCCCCTGCAGCAGCCAGGTGGAACCAAGGATAAAACCGAGGGGCGGCAGCCCAGGGAACGCCCAGCTCCTCAAGGAACTCTACACCCATCACCCAAGCAGCTCCCTGCTCACCTTTGGGTTCCAGACGCTGGCCGCTTCCGATCAAACAGTCCCTGAGGTCGGCTCCTTTCTCTATCACGGCGTTATGGCAGATCAGGCAGTTCTGGAGGCTGCACCTGGAAGAGAAAACCGAGGACGTCGGATACAGAACGTAACTAGAGTCCAACAGCGCAATCTGATGAGCCTAGTGTGGGGGGCATTGCTCCTGCTCTGGGCAGGGGGCTGGATGTGATGACCTCCTGAGGTCTCTTCCAGCTCTGTGATTCTATGACTCAGGAGGCAGGCCGGGCTTTGGTGCTGCCCCGTCTCGGCTGGATTTCCCCCACACGCCACGTTCTCTGACCCTTGTGCTCAGAGGCTCTGACAGAAGAACGGGAGCAGCAGAAACTACCGAAAGGCTGTCTCCCTGAGAGGAGTTTTGCATTTAGCTGAGTGGTCCTGGGGAGACACAGAACTCGCCAAGGTCCATCTAGCCTAGAATTCTGTCTCCAACAGAAACCAGAACCAGATGCTGCAAAGAAAAGTGTAAGAGCCCCACAGCAGGCAGACGTGGGGAAAGCTGCCTCCCAAATTAGGTCAATGTCCCCGCCACAAATCTATTCTTAGCATTAATTATGACAACTTTGGATATTCTTCTTATCCACATAAATGTCCAATCCCTTTATGACTCTTAAGTTCTTGCTGCAGTGATTTCCAGTAGCATGGAGTTCCACAGTTTCACACCCCTGCCACTTTGATCTTTGCTCATGAGCCTTGCCCTTTGGTCAGCAGAACACCACATCCGTTAACTTCCCGGTGGTCGATGGACAGGCTCTATGGTGTAACTAGGCCCACGATGGCTTTGAATAGCAGGACAGAGCTCTTGAACTGGGCCTCGTATGTGGCGAGGAACCACACGGCTGCGGCAACCTGACTTGAGACAGGCTTTCCCGCCCCCTGCCAGTCCTACGAAGTCTCCTGCTCCTCGGTGACATGGATTCTGCCGTCCAAACGGAGATGGCAGTTCCCTCGCTGCTGGACGAGCCGCAGTGACCCTGCAGGGTCAGAGGAGCGAGACGGCGCAACCCCTTTCAGTCAGCAGATGCTGTAGCTCAGGCCCAGGATCACATAACAGGAGCAGGCCTGCGGTGTAAGAAGGGGTCGCCGCAAAGAGGTGCTCTGGCTCCAATCCTGCGTGAGCCGGTTCCGTCCCCCCAGGAAAGGCTGGAGGGATTCACGCTGGAGCTGTCTGGCTCAGGTTGCCTTGCCAGGGTTCTGATCCTCAACGGGGACATTACGGCACCGCCGGTCTTTGCTTTCTGTTACTGCAGCCTGGCCCAGCTGCTGCCTTCCCCCCGCTCGACGCAGCTCAGAGCCCGGCAATTTTGGGAGGGGTCTAGAAGGAACGTTCATCAGACTAAGGCAGGGCTACTCAACTCTGGAAGCCTGGGGGGCCACAACGATCCTCTCAGCACATGCCGACGGCTGCAAATTAAGTGTGGTTTCATATACATGCAAATCGCTTCTTTCACACTGACGGGCAAGACTACACAACACACAGGCCTGATTTAAGTCAGCTCTGTGGATATTACTACAATGCGATATTTACCCGATCGCCACCCCTACGACAGCACTTGGAACGAGCAAGGACAGTCCAGGAATGTGACGACTAAAACACATCTCAACAGAAGACCGTTCTATGGACTCCTTTTTTGTTTTGGCTCCCACCCGCGGGCCGTGTGTTGAGCCCCGCGTAAACCCAAACCACACGGCAAACAAACGGGCCGCGGGCTGAGTAGCCCTGGGCTAAGGAACGACTCCGTTTAGCACAGACCGCAGGGTGCTGTTCTGAGTTTGCCCGGCGAGGACGGAGCTACCCCCCGCACTAGCATAACCTACCCAAAGCGCCCCCGCCCCCACTCCGCTACGCTCACAGAGTCCTGTTCATGTGTTAGCTCCACCTGGGCCGAGTCTAGAGTCTCTCTCCCCAGCCTCATGTGGGGCCCCATCCTGGGGGGTTCCAGCACCCCAATCTACCCCCCCAAAAGGAATGGCAAGTGCCCAGCGCTCTCCAGGGCCCTGCAGTGGTTTATAAGCCATCCCGCTACCTGCTAGTGTGTGTGTCTGCAGAGAAGGGGCCTGGCTGTGCGTGGGCGGGGAGGGAAGGCGGCTCAGGAGAACACGATCTGAGCATGGAGAATATCTCGGAGGTGGCTCGAGGAGGAGAAACTGCGGCTACAACCAAGAAACTGCTCCCACCGTCATTATCTTTGCACTGGCATCAACACTCAGCAAGTTAACTCCTGCAAACCGCCTGTGTGGTTGGGGGAGGCGCTGCCGACGCCCGGGAACCACAGGCAGCTTGTTGATGCGTGCCAGGTGCTAGCGAACCCAGGGAACCCAGCCGGCGGGAGGGGGGAGACAAATCACCACCTCCACAGCTTATAAAAACCACTCCAGCGCACCGAACTTGAAAATCAGTCACAACACCCGCCTCCCACTCACATCAAACAGCAGCGGATCCCCTTTTTATTGTGCGGGTGGAGCAAAACTCCAACAGATATAAACACATTTTGTGGGTGTTCCTCGCAATGGCTGACAGATGGAACGCAGCCATTTTGAAACCACTCGGAAAGGCCTTTGCAGAAAGCCCAGGCTGCCAAGACGTGTACTCGGGGTGTTTATTTTATCTTGATTTATTTTTTTAAATGTAAAGAGCAAGGAAGAAACTTTCATTCTCTTGCAAGATCCATGTCACATTTCAAGGCAGGCTATTGTGCTTTCTTTAACCACTGCTCTTCCTGGCTGTTTCCAATATTCAATACTATTTTATCCAGGCCGCTTTGATAGCACTGAGTTTGATGAACATTGCTGCATGTGGTGCACACGGTTGATTTACTGCATTCTAATGGGAACCATATTTGTCTGCCTAAAACATAGTATATTTTTCAACTTTTCAGCACTGTGAAAGCGGATCTCTCCTGACCTTAAACCCGAGGCCGACATTCAAACCCACAAGAACAACTAATTTGGGTCGTTTGATTTACAGCTGAAGTTCCAATCAGAATTAGTTTGAAGGGCAATTGCACCGCTCGGAGCCTGGCAGCTGGGAACGCTGCGCTGAAAGTAAATGCAAACACGCCGCGGCTGGCTGCATTCTGGAGCACGCTTTGCAAGCCGGGGCCTGCAGCGGTAACAGCTGGGGATGTGGGCTGGCTACCATTCGTTAGTCGCGCAGGTACAAGGGGCATGCCTGCCTCCGACAGGCAGAGAGACCCACCTTGTTTTCCGAACCGGGGAGGGGACAAGAGGAAGAAGAGGAATGGCCCAGGAGGGGACTTAGGGGGGGAATGACAAATATTTAGGGCTCTCTGTTGCAGACCTCCTAACGAGATCACTCTGCAGGGCCCTAATTTCAGTGAGGCCACAAATGACCCCTCCACCTCCTCCCCACATTGTAAACAACTAATCCCAGCAGAAAACAACAGAGCGCAACATGTACACGCACTGGGCCACATTCCAGGCCCTTCTTTATCTTCTATTTATTTTTCTAAAAGGTCAGAGATTGCAAGGGGGGGGAGGGGAGAGAAGAAAGCCAAATACGCATCCATCTCTTGTGTGGGCCGAGCCAGCGTCCAAACACACACAACACGGAGCTTTTATTGCAGAGCAGTCCTGGGACTTGGCATGCGTCTCTCCCCGCCCCGCCCCCCAATTGTGGCAAAGTCTCCCATAGCTTTAAACCAGAGGCCAGGGTGGTCGACTGCATGTGGGAGAAATGCCGAGAACTGGGAAAGAATTCCATCTCCCGTCCAATTATAAATAAGGAAATATTAGTCCCAGAGAGCGACTGATTTCCTCAGCCCTGGGACTGCTCTCAGGCCGGCTATCGGTCTATCAATCAAACTCTTCAATCGAATCTGTCACTTGCAGTTGCAACATGCTACTTAAGAAAAGCAAAGCCTCTACCACCGAGGCAGAGCGCTCTCCCTGGCACTGTGGTGCTACATTCTTCTAAACCTTTGAAAATGGAAATCTGAGATCAAACAAACTTTTGGGGAGGGGAGGGGATCAAAATATGCACTGCTCAGCACACAAGGAACAATCTGCAGGAATCCAACACACAACCCATAATTACAGGCTACCCACTAATTATTTAGGACTCCGTGATTAAAGCGATGAACGTTCCTGGAAGAAAGGGGCTTAAATAACGCAGGTCAAGACCTCCAGGGGAGCGCTAGCCCTAGACGTCCAATCTTAGGACGGCACAGCTGTCACAGGTTTGCCTTACAGCAAATCGGCCGAAATGGAGATGGAAAACGTCCCTGGCCGCTACCTTGCTGTGCATCCAAAGGACCTCACCTCTGACGGGCAGGAAGGGAAGGCAAGCCAGGTGGGCAGACCTCTTGCTGATGGGCTCGAAAGGGGGAGGGGGACCTCTGGATATGTAGAGGAGGGAAGACACTGCTGAGCCTAAGGGCCAATGCTGGGGGCAGCCTCGTGGAGATGCTCGGTGCCGCCATGAAGGAGGTGCAGCTAATCCAGAAAGATGGCAGCTGCCAGGAGGGGCAGATGAAAAGCAAGGAACACAGAGTAACTCTTGGTGCTCTAGCAGCAACCAACACCTTCCAAAGGAGTCCCGCTTCCTCTCCGAGCCGGAGGCGTGGGGGCTATGACACACAGTCAAAGCGGTAAGACACTGCCATCGTGGGAAAAAACGGAGCGCTCTCAAGCCCATTGTCAGGAACCTAGAGAAGCCTGAAATTTCACTTTCATGAAAAAACATTTTCCACATGTCAATAGCAAGCTCCTCCGTTCATGCACTACAGGAGATGGCAGCTGAACATTTCAGAGCCACTTTTCAAAGAAACCAGTTTATTAAAAATATGGGCTTTGAGGTCTCTCCCTGGGGTAACATAAAACTCCTACCAGCCCCCTATGTCCGTAAGCAATTTGCACGATCTCTGAGGGTGTGTTTGCCGAGGAACTTTCTACCCAGGTGTACGTACTGCTCTCATTACCACGGGACAACGGCTCTGCTCCTGCCCCACAGCCTAAATATTGCACTTTGCACCAGATGGACTAGCCAGCAGCCAAGCTTTCCAGTTACAGGTTCGGGCTCCTGCAGACAGCTGGC